AGCGTCGGGATAGAACCCACGACCTCCTGTATACCAGGCGAGGTAGTTAACATCTCACCACAGAGAGAGAGAAAGACACAAACTCCAAATATACAGCAGCAGGGTCGGGATAGAACCCACGACCTCCTGTATGCCAGGCGAGGTAGTTAACATCTCACCACAGAGAGAGACACGCAAACTCCAAATATACAGCAGCAGCAGGCGTCAGGGTCGGGATAGAACCCACGACCTCCTGTATACCAGATGAGGTAGTTAACATCTCCTAGCCACCGTGATGATGATGAGAGAGAGACACGCAAACTCCAAATACACAGCAGCAGCAGGGTTGGGATAGAACCTACGACCTCCTGCATACCAGGTGAGGTAGTTAACATCTCACCACAGAGAGAGAGAGACACGCAGACTCCAAATATACAGCAGCAGCGTCGGGATAGAACCCACGACCTCCTGTATACCAGGCGAGGTAGTTAACATCTCACCACAGAGAGAGAGAAAGACGCAAACTCCAAATATACAGCAGCAGGGTCGGGATAGAACCCACGACCTCCTGTATACCAGGCGAGGTAGTTAACATCTCACCACAGAGAGAGAGACACGCAAACTCCAAATATACAGCAGCAGCAGGCGTCAGAGTCAGGATAGAACCCACGACCTCCTGTATACCAGATGAGGTAGTTAACATCTCCTAGCCACCGTGATGATGATGAGAGAGAGACACGCAAACTCCAAATACACAGCAGCAGGCGTCAGGGTCGAGATGGAACCCACGACCTCCTGCGTACCAGGCGAGGTAGTTAACATCTCACCACAGAGAGAGAGGCACGCAAACTCCAAATATACAGCAGCAGCAGGCGTCAGGGTCAGGATCGAACCCACGACCTCCTGTATACCAGGTGAGGTAGTTAACATCTCACCACCGCGGTGTCCCATTCATGCTAATAGTATCCCATAGAGCCGTACATTAATTATATATAAGTACCAAATCCTATATGCAGCCACTACCAAGCAAATGAATAATATACTACCACGCAACATCTAAAGTGAATAAACAAATTAAGAAATGGTACCAAAGTAAAACGCACAAACAACAAAAAAGTTACGATAACAAATGAGGTCCGCTACACACATCCTAGAGCACAATCCAAACTTCCAAATGTTACAGCAGGGACGGTGGGGTGTCACATCGTTTAATATCAATCGGAGTGATGAAACTTAATTCTAGATTGGAAGCTTTCGTGACTGCAATGATTCATATTCTTAGGTTTTTTCGGTAAAGTCACGTAGGTAAAAACATTAAAAAGTAAAATAAAATAAAGATCACGACGTTTCAGAGGCAACACAAGCTTCCGTCTTCAGGTGGTACCGTCACAGCCACGACAGCTGTATTAAGTAAATGAGAGATTGCAAGAGCTACCACTTCGTTTATATAATGGTTGGAGAAGGTGGTGGGCAAGGGCCGCATACTTATTATTAATATGGTAAGGTGAGGCTTCAGACTAAGAATAGACTGCATAACAAAGGCTGAGCCTTTGTTATGGAGAGGTGCGGTTTGTGACTCAACCTGTAACAGGGAGGCCACCACTAAACATGGTAAAACTGTAATGGTTGTCTGTCAAATAAGATTGGCAAATAAGTGTAGTTAAATCTTTTTTGCATGGTTAATCACATCTTTCCAATGATTACTCAGTTTGTAACCGTCATCACGGTTGAAATTATGTCTGTGTTTGTATATTTGTATGGCTTCGTGTACAAACCTTTGATGGTAGCCAGGAGGTTTGCAGAGAACCTTGGTCTCTGAAAATACAATTTCCTGAGAGCCCACCGAGTTGTAGCAATGATCGGCAACGGCCGAAGAATCAGTTCTGCCGTGTTTCAGATCTGACTTGTGCTTGCGGACACGATCAGAAACATGACGTTTCGTTTCTCCAATGTAGCAATCACCACAAATGCAACTCAATTTGTAGACTCCAGGATACTGTAAGTCAGGAACGACATCCTTCACAGATGGAATCAAATCACGGATTTTATGCACTGTACTGAATCGGACTTGGATCTTATGTTTGTTTAGAATTTTGGAGATCTTTTTGGTCACGCCTGCTATGTATGGCAACGTGATAGTTTTGGTCAGAGTTTCATGTGGCTGTTTCTGTATGGTGGGAGAAACAGCTTGGCGGATAGTGCGGTCAGAGTATCCGTTCATCCTGAGGGCCCGATGTACATGTCTTAATTCACTGGCCAGGTGGTGTTGGTCAGCAATGCCATGGGCTCTGTGGTATAGCGTTTTGATGAGAGAATTCTTTTGAGATGGGTGGTGGTGGGAATCCGGTTTCAAGTAGGAATCTGTGTGGGTGGCTTTCCTGTAGACAGAATGTCCCAAGGATCTGTCAGGCCTCCTCTCAAACAGAATATCCAAGAATGGTAGTTTACCGTCTTTCTCCACTTCCATGGTGAATCTGATGGATGGGTGTCTAGAATTGATGTGGTCCAAGAAGTGGTTCAATGCTGGGAGGCCATGTGGCCAGATGACGAAAGTGTCGTCCACATACCTCTTCCACAAGGAAGGACGCAGGGTGGATGTCTGGATGGCGTCTGATTCAAACTTTTCCATGAACATGTTGGCTATAACTGGTGACAAGGGGGAGCCCATAGGGGTACCCTCATTCTGTTTGTAGAAGGTGCCATTCCAGGTAAAATAAGTGTTGGTGAGGCAATGCCTAACCAGCGCAGGTACATCAGAATTCAATCCATGTTGGACTAAGTCCTCAATTATTGTTAGGGTGTCCGGTACTGGGACTTTGGTGAACAAAGATACTACATCAAAGCTGACGAGGATGTCATCAGGAGATAGTACCATGTCCTTAACCATAGAGACTAATTGGGTTGAGTTGAGTACAGGCAAGACCTCTTCGGCAAGACCTCTTCGGCAGTACTCAACTCAACCCAATTAGTCTCTATGGTTAAGGACATGGTACTATCTCCTGATGACATCCTCGTCAGCTTTGATGTAGTATCTTTGTTCACCAAAGTCCCAGTACCGGACACCCTAACAATAATTGAGGACTTAGTCCAACATGGATTGAATTCTGATGTACCTGCGCTGGTTAGGCATTGCCTCACCAACACTTATTTTACCTGGAATGGCACCTTCTACAAACAGAATGAGGGTACCCCTATGGGCTCCCCCTTGTCACCAGTTATAGCCAACATGTTCATGGAAAAGTTTGAATCAGACGCCATCCAGACATCCACCCTGCGTCCTTCCTTGTGGAAGAGGTATGTGGACGACACTTTCGTCATCTGGCCACATGGCCTCCCAGCATTGAACCACTTCTTGGACCACATCAATTCTAGACACCCATCCATCAGATTCACCATGGAAGTGGAGAAAGACGGTAAACTACCATTCTTGGATATTCTGTTTGAGAGGAGGCCTGACGGATCCTTGGGACATTCTGTCTACAGGAAAGCCACCCACACAGATTCCTACTTGAAACCGGATTCCCACCACCACCCATCTCAAAAGAATTCTCTCATCAAAACGCTATACCACAGAGCCCATGGCATTGCTGACCAACACCACCTGGCCAGTGAATTAAGACATGTACATCGGGCCCTCAGGATGAACGGATACTCTGACCGCACTATCCGCCAAGCTGTTTCTCCCACCATACAGAAACAGCCACATGAAACTCCGACCAAAACTATCACGTTGCCATACATAGCAGGCGTGACCAAAAAGATCTCCAAAATTCTAAACAAACATAAGATCCAAGTCCGATTCAGTACAGTGCATAAAATCCGTGATTTGATTCCATCTATGAAGGATGTCGTTCCTGACTTACAGTATCCTGGAGTCTACAAATTGGATTGCATTTGTGGTGATTGCTACATTGGAGAAACGAAACGTCATGTTTCTGATCGTGTCCGCAAGCACAAGTCAGATCTGAAACACGGCAGAACTGATTCTTCGGCCGTTGCCGATCATTGCTACAACTCGGTGGGCTCTCAGGAAATTGTATTTTCCGAGACCAAGGTTCTCTGCAAACCTCCTGGCTACCATCAAAGGTTTGTACACGAAGCCATACAAATATACAAACACAGACATAATTTCAATCGTGATGACGGTTACAAACTGAGTAATCATTGGAAAGATGTGATTAACCATGCAAAAAAGATTTAACTACACTTATTTGCCAATCTTATTTGACAGACAACCATTACAGTTTTACCATGTTTAGTGGTGGTCTCCCTGTTACAGGTTGAGTCACAAACCGCACCTCTCCATAACAAAGGCTCAGCCTTTGTTATGCAGTCTATTCTTAGTCTCAAGCCTCACCTTACCATATTAATAATAAGTATGCGGCCCTTGCCCCACCACCTTCTCCAACCATTATATAAACGGAGTGGTAGCTCTTGCAATCTCTCATTTACTTGATACAGCTGTCGTGGCTGTGACGGTTACCACCTGAAGACGGAAGCTTGTGTTGCCTCTGAAACGTCGTGATTTTTATTTTATTTTACTTTTTAATGTTTTTACCTATGTGACTTTACCGAAAAAACCTAAGAATGTGATGAAACTTGCTCGGGTGCAGATGGATTGCTGCGTTGCAGGACTGCGACAGATAGCGAGGACTTGGAGATGCCGTCATTCAGCAGCGGATCATGGCTGATGATGATTTTTTTTACACAATTTGTTCTGTTCAGAATCAACAATAATGCCTTTTGACAATTGTCATTATCATTACGAGTCAATGAATGAGTGAATTAATGACTAAGTGAATGAACCATAGCTTCTCAAAATTTGCCAGCCATAGAGGTGACATTTCATCCTGGTAAATTCATCGCAGTGCTATCCCCTCTGAATGCCCCGTAACAATTGCCCTCACGTAACTGACAAAGGGGCACTTGGCAGTCGACGGGTCACCAGAAAAATCCGTCGTCCACGTCCGCGGCGCCCACTCGGTGCCGTGCCATCGCAGCCGCCTTTTTGTCTCCCGCAGATTGCTAATGAGCGATGATCCACGGGGAAGCCCGGGCGGGCCGTGCGGTGGCCTCATCGCGAGGAGCGTCGGTGACACGCGGCCACCGCGGCCGAGCCGCGGCCCCCGGTCTCCCCGCCGGCCGCGGCGGGCGGCACGAGGTCCGGAGCGCGGCGCGCAACGGTCGGCTGGAGGGGCGACCCGAAGCGACGCGGCAATAGCGGCTAACGAGACCGCGGGAGGTAGACGCCCTCCTTCCTCCAGTGAGAGACGGCCCGAGCTTGCGCCACGAAATGTACTGCCCCACGCGGCGCTCAGGCGCTGGCATGTTATTGCGCATCACCGTCCCTCGGTGCACACAGGTGCGATAAACTGATACACAATGTCCTCTGTTTAGATTATAAAGGGCTATAGAAAAGGAAATCGGACTAATGATTTGCGTGCCTTGCACGATGCACACACAGGAGGCCGTCGCGCCTGCGACGTCCGCGCTTGGAGTCCCTGCGGCATGACCCGTTCGCGCAGCGCGCCCCACTGCACGCGCCAAGAGCCTGGATGTGCCACGGATTGCCAGCGTGGACGAGATTAGAGCCATGAGCATGGCGGATGCCGGCTATTTACTGCTGTCTGCTCTCGCAAACAATGTGAGCGTGCCGGTCGGCGGCCGCTTTCCCACGACGCGCGGCGGCGGTGTCGCGACGGCGACGGCGCCGGTGGTGGCAGCAGCGCCCTGGGAGCCACGGCACCTCCTGCGCGACGGCGCCGCGGCCGCCCACCCGGGCAACCGCGCGGACCGCGCCAGCGCCCTGAACTCCTCCGTGCAGACGCTGATCGCGGGGCTGCTGTCCGAGCAGAGCGTGCCACCCTGGGGCAACGCCACGGTGCCGGCCTCCACCGCTTCGGCTCCGACGCCGACCCCGGTGCCGGGCGGGGGCGCCCAAAACTGCGGCGCCGGCGGCGGCGGCGCCGGCGGCGGCGGCGGCGCCAACTGCACGGTGCTGTCGCCGGGCCTGGCCTGCGTCACCGCGGGGGCCGTGGCGGGGCCCGACGGAGCCGAGCTCAACTGGCCGGCGCTGCTCTTCCTCCTGGTGGTCGTGCTGACCGTGGGCGGCAACCTGCTGGTCATCCTGGCCGTGTGGCTCGAGAAGAAGCTGCAGACGGCGACCAACTACTTCCTCATGTCGCTGGCGGTGGCCGACCTGCTGGTGGGGCTGACCGTGATGCCCATCTCCGTGATTAACATCCTCTACAGTGAGTTGTCTGCTCGCCGCATGCGCACACGTGCGTGAACACGTGTGTCCGTGAACACGTGGGTGAGTGCCTGAACATGCGCGTACGTGCGTGTGTGAACACGTGCGTGTGTAAACACGTGGGTGAGTGCCTGAACATGCGCGTATGTGCGTGTGTGAACACGTGCGTGTGTGAACACGTGCGTGCATTTGTGAACACGTGCGTGCATTTGTGAACACGTGCGTGCGTGTGTACACAATAACTTCCCCACTGGCCACGTGTATCTGCCAGGCTCGTTGATGTTGCTTACAAGTGCGTAGTAAATAAAACATGTGTTCCCAACAAAGTAACACAACAAATTATTTATTTTAAGAGCCATTCTTTGTAATGGTGATTTTTTCAAAGATTTTAGAACTTGTAGTTTGTAAGTGGCGGGGTGCCTCAGATTTATTTACCCATGGTGAGACGTTTACTGCCTTGCCTGGTTTACAAGAGGTCGTGGATTCGATCCCGACCTTGACGCCTGCTGTTTATTTGGAGTTTGTGTGTTCTCCCCGTGGTCGCATGGGTTTTTTCCGGGTCCTCTGGTTTTTTCCTCCACATTTATAATTATCACGTTTTCAGAGTATTTGGCTGCTGTGATACATTTCCACGTGATATGCCACTTGGTTGAGCTATCATTTGTGGCCAGGTCGCTTCTGAAAAAGATTTATATAGTTTCATCCCAGGTTGGGTTTCAACAGTGTGTGATGAAACCGGGTTCTCAAGTGGACTTAGTCGATGGTCTGAGCCACGTGACTAATGAACAACTGCACAAAAAGACCACCGCATCTGTGAAAATGTGAATACCAGGTTGACTGTCATGCCACGAACATTGCTGTCTGTAACAAGACAAGTGGCAAAGTGCTGCCCCGTACGTTGTGAACTAAGAGGTCGCCTAGAATTTCAGAAGTAGTTCCGTTATATCCCCTTTCCGGGAGCCATTGTCAAACATGGAAGGGTCGCACTGCTCTTGTGAGAAATCCGAATGGATTCTTCATCTCGTGACAGGGCACTGAGAGAACAATCGAGATCACGTTGGGGAGAGAGATAATTGCATGTTCTGTTATTCACAACTAGCACAAGATTCAGGCCTGCGCCAGTGGGGATTGCAATGACAGAACTCATTACTGAGGTCCTGGCAGTGAAGCCGGAGGCTCTACGGCACTGGGCCAGGCCACCTATCCTCAAACTGCGACAGCATTAAATAGAACTACATCTGGGCTGGCACGATGCCGGTCGACAGGCTGATTATGACTGTAAAAAAATAATACTCAGAACTTCCTATTGTTTGTTGACTTTCCAGATGTCACGGCGTGCCATGCTGGCTATGAGATGTTAACTACCTCGCCTGGTATACAGGAGGTCATGGGTTCGATCCTGACCCTGACACCTGCTGTATATTTCGAGTTTGCATGTTCTCTCTTCCTGTGGTGTGGTTTTCCAGGTCCTCCCGTTTTCCCTCCACATTAAGAATCAACGTGTCTTTAGCTGCGATACATTTCCACGTGATAAGCCACTTATTGAGCTATCATTTGTGGCCAGGTCGCTTCGAAAAAATGGCGATATAACTCAGTGGGCCTTACCTGGTAAAACAAAAACAAAAAGTTTATTGTAAAAATAGTTTAAGTCCTACGTGCTGAAGTGCACTCTCCAATTTTCACGTAAGTCACTCCACCGATTCGGACACAAATTAGCGGCAATTGCTGCCACATGTTGTGAGCTGGAGGCAGGAGGCTCGTCGTAAAGTCTGTGGCTATTCTGGGTGCCTTAACGTTGGGGAGATTTCATTGTCTCTTTTACAAGGGATCTGAAAAAGCGACTTACAGAACTCAACTCAAGTGAGGACACGGGGGCTGTAACAAAACTCGTTAGTGTCCAGGGATCGTTCCAGAATTGCAGACAATGCATTGGCAACGGTGAAGCGTTGCCTAAAGCGGAGGAGACTCCGGTGGCTCGTGGGCAAGAGTGTTCAGTCGCCGCTGCTGAGGTCCAGGGCACGAGATCAAGTTGCAGTCGCCTGCGATTGAAACCGGCTTCTCCGGCTTTTAGCGAGTTGACTTTTTACGCACACCAGAATAAAAAATGTCTGTCATATGAAATGTCTTTTTTCCCACGTAATTTGCCTAAATTCCAATTCTGAGCTTCAGGATATCGGTTCGACTGCCACGCCCTTGAACACTTGTCTGCAGCGGGGTGCATGGGAAAATTTCACCCCACCCCCTGGTCTGCGAAGGTAATAAAAAAAATAATGGTCAATCGATGGGTTCTTGTAAGTCGTGATATCGCTTCCGTGAACCGCACCAACTCCGCCGCGAGAGTTCCAAGCGGCAAGGTCACCTCGCAGCAATCTACTCACGGGTGGCGCAAAAGTCAACTGGCATTGGCGAGCAGATCGCCAAAAAATGCAACAAATAGAATATGGGGGGGGGGGGGGGGGTTACATTCCAGACGTCTTGCCAGTCAAATTAGACACACTGTGCGTGCACTGCTTAGGAAAGCAAGCACGCTGGGGTGCAGTGCACGACTCCTGAAGGGCTCGAAGACAGCGTTCAAATCCAGCGGATGACAGCTGGACACCAACTGTTGGTGGACGCGCAACGGCTTAACGGTCGCATTTCATCCAGAGCACGCGTGCGCTGCTTGATAATGCCCAAGGAAATATAATTTTTAATCCATCCAAGGACTCCGTTTGCGCCGTAAACGTTTGTGCCGTTTTCATGAAAGTGTTCGTGATTCTCGGGTCAAAGGGTCGTACGTAGCTCATCACCAATACCTTTTGCTCCCCGGTTTTTTTCGGCTCCGTACAATGAGCGCTGTTACTGACAGGCCGACTAGAAGACGGACGACTTAAGTTCCCTACAATGTGAGGTAGGTTACGCGCACGTTGAGTTAATTATACAACGGCACAGTAAAAGCCGCAGCTGACCGCGAGATTGCTGCGGCTAATGTATAGGATTTGCAAGTACACTTTCACCAAGGTTGGCAAACTGCGGCACGCCTCAAAACGTCTCGCTGCACACTCCATATTTAGATGTTTGCAGCAGTCATGGAAGAGAGCATAGCAAACATTTACATTTTTTCCGTGGTCCGTCGTTGCGACTGACGTCCAAACAACAGCGTTTTATCCGACCATCTCTGTACAGGAGCCTCCTCTCGAATCGCGCCTTCCCATCCATTTCCATTCGGCGTGAGAGCCCAAAGAAATATGCAGGCAATAGCCGGGTTTACATACGAGGAAGGAGGCTGTTTTAATATTTGACATCGTTCTGAATCTTCCTCTTGTTGAACTTGGGTGGACACGTTCTGTGTTCGTCTATCCCGTGCATTCCCATTCGCTTCTTCAAGATGTCAATCGGCCTCTTCCTTTTCCTGCCTCTTGATGTTTTCTCCCCCAACATCTTTCTGGAGTTTCTGTCAGCAAAGCCATCTCCATGTGTGCAATATTGCTCCAATTTAGAATTCCGGGACACGGATCGATGTGAACTTGGGTTATTGCAGCCTGAAATCGGGCCACCCCTGTTGACTTTGGATGGGATGTCTGGTGATGTCTGGTGATGTCTGGTGATTGTCTGGTGATGTCTGGTGATGTCTGGTGATTGTCTGGTGATTGCCTGGAAGATAGCACAAGAGCTACGAGCCAGAGTTATTTTAACTATTTTAAAACATTTATTTTACCAGGTAAGGCCCACTGAGCCATGTAGCTCTTTTTTCAGAAGAGACCTGGCCACAAATGATAGCTCAAAGAAGTGGCGTATCGCGTGGAAATTTATAGCAACAGCAAAATACTCGCGTGATGATTAAAAATGTGCAGGAAAAAACTGGAAGGCCCGGAGAAAAATCCACACGACCACGGGGGAGAGAGCCAAAGCAAACTCCTAATATGCAACAGGCATCGTCAGGGTCGGGATCGAACCCACGACATCCTGCATACCAGGTGAGGTAGTTAACATCTCACCTCCAGGACCGGCATTCATCACTCACATCGTGAGCCGCGTGGTTAAACTCGCAGCTTTCGCCGCTGACTCCCTTCTCGGATAAATCTCACAACCCATCACGTAAATGTCACCGCTGTGGATTTAATATTTGACATTTCATTTATCTTTGTCGCTCTTCGTCACGGCTGTTAAGAATTGGGAACTTTCCGCCACTGTGAGTAGCCATCTCTGACCTCACGGCACGTGCCAGGCTAGCACGCGTGGCCTCTCTTCTCGAGCCATCGGTGTAAACAGACGTTCACGGAGAATTGTTTCCACAAGTGATGCTTCCGATTTTGAAATTCCCCCACACATTGGCAACAGCTTGGCTGTCGTTTACACTCCTCGTTAAATCGCGTCACGCACCATTTTTGTTTCTCTCGTTAACTTTTCGGCGGGGCCCACGATTAATTAAGGGGGAGCTGTCCTGGGATAACTTGGTAACCCACACAACGTCATTGCCCATGAAGTGGGAGTTTCTTGATGACATAAGCGAATGATGATGTTGTTTGCACGGTGGCTATCTGTGAGGTGATGTCACAACAGCGACTGTCAAAAGGTCACGGTGAAGCGTTGCAACGAAGCTGTCCTAAAAATGCAAAAGTGTCTACGCGCGTGCACAGCATACTCCGCAAACGCACGAATAAACTCCACGGGTGAACAAGTAATGGGAAATGAATTTGTGGCAGTGGCTATGGAAAAGCAGATGGTGACTGAGCAGGGAGAGAGAGACAAAGAATGTCGACAATGGGACTCTGGGGGACGAGGGAGAAAACGCAGCGAGAAAAAGAGAAGTGGGGGGGGGACGGCTGAACGATGAGGAATTTGAGGAATACCATCACAGCTCACAAACTAAGCATCGCCGCTCCCACTATTACTACAAATACTGAACATTGGAAATCATTTCTGGGCAGTGCATGTGTGTCGGGAGGTCGTTAATGCACATAAATGAGCTGAGTCCACCAGCGCCCCCCCCACGCACCCCCTCCCCTCCTCGAGGATAAA